TCTCTGACATGTGTCTCTGATAGTCTCTGACCTGTGTCACTGATAGTCTCTGACCTGTGTCACTGATAGTCTCTGACATGTGTCACTGATAGTCTCTGACATGTGTCACTGATAGTCTCTGACATGTGTCACTGATAGTCTCTGACATGTGTCTCTGATAGTCTCTGACATGTGTCACTGATAGTCTCTGACATGTGTCTGATACTGATAGTCTCTGACATGTGTCACTGATAGTCTCTGACATGTGTCACTGATAGTCTCTGACATGTGTCACTGATAGTCTCTGACATGTGTCTCTGATAGTCTCTGACATGTGTCACTGATAGTCTCTGACATGTGTCACTGATAGTCTCTGACATGTGTCACTGATAGTCTCTGACATGTGTCACTGATAGTCTCTGACATGTGTCACTGATAGTCTCCGACATGTGTCACTGATAGTCTCTGACATGTGTCACTGATAGTCTCCTACATGTGTCTCTGATAGTCTCTGACATGTGTCACTGATAGTCTCTGACATGTGTCTCTGATAGTCTCAGACATGTGTCTCTGATAGTCTCCGACATGTGTCTCTGATAGTCTCTGACATGTGTCACTGATAGTCTCCGACATGTGTCTCTGATAGTCTCTGACATGTGTCACTGATAGTCTCTGACATGTGTCTCTGATAGTCTCTGACATGTGTCTCTGATAGTCTCCGACATGTGTCTCTGATAGTCTCTGACATGTGTCACTGATAGTCTCCGACATGTGTCTCTGATAGTCTCTGACATGTGTCACTGATAGTCTCTGACATGTGCCACTGGTATTCTCTGACATGTGTCACTTCTGCGACATGTGTCACTGATAGTCTCCGTCATGTGTCGCTTCTGCGACATGTGTCACTGAAAGTCTCCTGCTCGCCTACTATTCCTAACAAATGCTAGAAACATCAATAGAGAAAGCAGACTGAAATGTGAAAGAAGCAATCTGGATAGACGCTGGTCCTTCAGAGACCACATGGAAGTAGTTGTGACAAAATAACAAAAGTGTCTCAAAGAGTAGTAATTTTTTTTTTTTTTTTTTGGGTATCATCTGACACGGGACAAATATTTTAAAACGCTTTATCAACATTTTGGACACCCAAAAAGAGCAACTAATAGGTTTTGAAAATGGCGGGAGCCCGAAAACAACTTATCACAAACATCAGAAGAAAGCAGTCATCATGTTTCGGCCATGTTATGAGTAAAGAAAAAATGTAACATGTTGTAACCACTGGAAAGATATGTGGGAGGAGGGATAGAGGAAAACAGTGAGAGAAGATTCTTGACAGTCTTGTTGCATGGTATGGAGGTGTGTCGTCAAACGAACTGATACATGCTGTAGGAGTTCGCAGATTGTGGAGAGGCATGACCGCTTAAGCCAGTCGGTGAGGCACCTGATGATGATGATCAGCACTTGATCCTATCAGTTATAGATCATGAAATGGGAACTAGAACGGATGAACAATCTAGCTATGCCACTGGTTATATTTTGTAAAAGAGAAACATCATGGCTTTTACATCCTTGCTACGCCAACTGTTCCAGACCGGCTCCAGGTTCCGCAGTCGAGATATTCCTTGTTGATCTTAAGGCAAATAATGGCTGTAGCGTGGTTTTTACAAAAAAAAGTCTTGCATTTCTCATTCGAAAGGCACAATAGAACAAGTGTGTATGCTTGAAAACACTGGGCGAGAAAAAAAAAGTGGGCCAGTGTCCAAGGAAAACTCATATTTTTGCAAAGCAATGACAGTGGGAGTGTGAGCATTTGCCAGTCAGCGAAGAGTGGAAATTAGGCAATTGATTCAGACCATTCTTGCCCGGGTGATGGTGGCTATACGGATGTCTATGACTGAAAAGCAGATTAAGGACCTCAGATTCCAGAGAAAAAGCAAATAGGCGAAAATTAGTGCAAGAAAGCTTTGTACAAGTTACTGCAACATGTGAATTCAGAATTTAGGTGGAGGTGGTCATTGCAGAATTAAAGTAACTAAAAAATAATTGCATACATATTTCATGGTCGTTTCAAGGCACCACGAGAAAGATTTCAACAGGCATGTGTCGCATCGGAGGTGTCAGATAGCGAGTAACATTTAGATATTTACTATAGGGCATATTGTTGGTAAATGAACGAGAAATCAGTCTGGCTTGTTGTGAAAACCTGGATAGTAAACTGATGCATGATAAAGCAGGTGTGGTCAAGATCTTTTGGAAACACGCGAACAGGGCTGAAGAGCCGATGGTGATCAGAGAACTTGCTGACAATCAATGCTTAGAACCAACGAATGACCGAATTTTATTTTCAAAGGGTTACAAATTAGGCTCGCAGGCCTGTCTTACATTCGACCCTTCCAAACTCCCATCTTTCACACAGCAGTTGTATTTCATCAATGAAGCATGTTATGTTACTGTAATATAATACATATTATGAATATCATGTCAAAAACAAAAGAATAGGTGGTAAAATACTTGCGAACGTTTGCGCGCGAACACACACACCCACATACACACGCAAACCCATTCACTCACTTACACACACATAGGCACCCAATACAGGCAGACAGGCAGACAGACAGACAGACAGACAGACAGACAGACAGACAGACAGACAGACAGACAGACAGACAAACAGACAGACAGACAGACAGACAGACAGACAGACAGACAGACAGACAGACAGACAGACAGACAGACAGACAGACAGACAGACAGACAGACAGACAGACAGACAGACAGACAGACAGACAGACAGACAGACAGACAGACAGACAGACAGACAGACAGACAGACAGACAGACAGACAGACAGACAGACAGACAGACAGACAGACAGACAGACAGACAGACGGACGGACGGACGGACGGACAGACAGACAGACATGTACTTCCTGTTTCTTCTAACACTGGACACACTCTGAAGCAATGACTACAATTAACTCAGTGTTCTGTTTTAGCTTCCCGACATTAATGTAGATTTGTTCGGGATAGACAATTTTCTTTACGTTCCTTTTAGTAGGTTGGGCATGACTGTGATAAATACCTGCTTGTCATGCAACCATTGCAACACACCCACCGACCCAAGTAAACCAATCCTTTAACGTATTTAATACTTCTTGTGCCCTCTCGTTTTGGTGGAATAATTGTAGCACGGACAGCAAACATGACGATAAGCCTAATTTAGCAATCATTTCATGTGCCCATTTCCTTTTAAAGGAAGCTTTTGCTGCTTTATAAATTGTGCTTCAGTTAACCATGTTTTCGAATTAAATCAAGTATCATAATTGACGTAGGTTCCAAAGAAAATCCAGCCTAAATTATGTATCAGAAAGTATCTTAAGCAGTGAGTCCACAGGGCAGGACGTTCATCATATGACCCATTGAATACCAACTGTTCTTTGAACATTTTGTTAAGCACCAAGCGCGTAAGGGACAAAAGTCGTTACATGTGTCCTTTACCTATCTTATAAACATGTTTTAGAAATCTACCGTCTCCTCTTCCGAACACATATTGTGAATTAGTTTACGCTGTGCACGTTGTGAATGTCTGGTCTCGAGTAGAATGTATAATGATTTGCTTCTAAATGGTTTATATTTTCGCTATGTAAGGAACACATTGTTTTTATGAATAGTCGGCGAGGCAGGAGCTTCAATGTAGTCGATGCCGGAGGAGCCGGGAGGTTCCAAGATAACGTCACCCTAGCTGTTAGATAAGGGTTCTGGTTGTAAGTCGTGGTCAAAGTATAGAGTGCATGCCTTGTTTATAATATCTTGGGAAGCGGTGGATAAAATGGTGGATCATATACTCAACGTATGAGGTAGTTTTTGTTTTCAATTATGGCCAGTAGTGGTCACTAGGATTGTCATGTTTTATGGGAATATCTCTTTTATGATACAGATAGGTCGAATGAGTCCCCTGGGGGAATAACATATGTATAGCACAATCCGTGAGGTTCCAATGACTTTGATACAGTAGGCACGTGATATGTATCCTATATAGCTGCCCGCCATGCAAGATGTTGGGTTTTCCTTGGATGGCGGAAAAGCATCTTGTAAACCTCTTTCCATCGTGCCACTTGTAAACAAATATTCCTATGTCTTACAAGCTTTTTCTTATATTGCCTTTTGTAAGAAAATAAAATTACATCGATCAGCTTGTCAAAGTTGTTTACTGACATACAGCTTGTCAGAATTTTTTCACTATGGGACATCTTATTCACCTTTTTGTACGTAAGTCAACATGTTATCTCACCAGCCACCCAACCCACCACCCCCACACACACCGACTGACATACACTTTTGGTAAACATTTTCACGTTAGTTATCTTGGCATTTTCTTTTTCATCTTTCGCTAGCATGCATTTATCACGTCTTTCTCTATCGGTGAACTTGTAAGCTATTTTAGATATATGTCATCTTGTCAATCACTGACGGACACATTTTTCACTCTTTCAATGCAACCTTTTTGCTCCAGTCACTGATGCCCCCCGCCCCCCCCCCGCCCCATTTCTCCCCACCACCACCACCATCGCTACCTCAGACACCAACCTAGGGCTACCTAAAAAATTCTAGGACTATATACTGGACCCCAGCTACTGACCACCACTTACCCAGAACCGCACTTGGCAAGCTAAAAAAAAAATGATATACTTAACTACCTTGCAGCAGAGCCATCATGTTAGCGGGGTTTACCTTCTTCAGCACTTAAAGCGTTCTATTACTAATGATGCCACCTGCATTCTCAGTTTATGTCCTGCTTTCCTGTCTTGTGAATTTTGAGTGTTGGTCCGATATTCTGGCTACTCCACATTGCGTTCTTCTGTCCAGACTGTGGTGATCTGCTCGTTCATCCGAATTGTTCACGGGCTCAAAGTAGACCATAACGTCGGTTTAGGATTTAAATAAACCCTCTTTAATGGTTAAGAAATATTGACGGCAACAAAAACAAACAAAAAACGCAACAAAGTACATATTTTATACCTTCAGATATCCCAGAAGTCCATCTGCCGAATTCCCGGATTGGTCAGCAAGTTGGAAAAGACACCATCCTTGATTGCGAAGTCTCGGCCTCGCCGCTTGGTTACGTCGTGTGGAGGCACAATTCAGAGAGGTACAGTCCGCCTGTCCAATTTGATGAATCGTTACTTTCACAATATTGTATTATAATTATTATTTAATGCAAACTGAAACATTACAGTTGGTTATGTGATACAATACAAAACTTTCTATTGTTTTGTTTTCAAATAATTAATTTCAGAGAATGATTTAGATAGACCGATATCATCAGCATCAAATGACTTTTGGCAAGTACTAACTACCACGCCAATCGGTGATAATAATGCCAGATGATGATGTACACAATACCATACTCTGTTACATCACATAACAGTTATACCACTAATCCGAAATGATATGTAATCTTTTTAAAGCATTCAGTTCAATACTAACTGGAAACTTGGGTATCTCCAGCGGCCTGTCCAACAGTGAGTCGCACGAGGTGCACCTATACAACAACAACAACCCTGATGACAGCATCACTCTCAGCCTCAGGATTCTCCGGGTACAACCTGAAGACTTCGGCTTTTATCAGTGTGTAGCCACCAACTCTATTGGCACCACTGTCAGAACAATGGAGCTTTTCGGTTAGTTCATTTTTAATTGTCTGTTTTGTCTAAATTAACACTAACAATGTATGAATGAATACCTTGGTTGTTTAGCAATGTATGAATGAATACCTTGGTTGTTTAGCAATGTATGAATGAATACCTTGGTTGTTTAGCAATGTGGTGTACATGGAGCAAGAACGCAAACCTGATCCTAGTCTCAGAACATTTTTCCATAGCATTATGTTTTCCTCTTTTCTTCTCCTTGTTAGTGGTTTTAACAACGTAAGGTTACAGGTCTTCATGAAGTTTGTGGTGTGACATATGTCTTCTACTGTTTCATACAACGTGGATTCCCTTGGAATGCTAACTTTCCAAACCTGGCTATCTCTCTACTGCATGTAGAGAGCATATCTGTAGCATATGTTCAATACCTTTGGTGCGTGTCCACATTAGCCAGATTCTGAATCCCCCCAATCTTGAATTTCTTGTACGATAGCGAACTATGACATTTTCTGTTTAGTAGCATGTCACATCGCAATATGTTCACGAGTGTGTTGGGATTGCCACATATGCTCAAATATGTAAGTGCCCTGAAAACAACAAATGAAAAACACATTAAAGAAGTTGAATGAGGAATAGCTCAATCAAAAGCTGCGCATCGCAGGGTGAAAATATTTGGTGCAATTTTTCTTTGGCAGCTGATGTCTTAGTTCTCAAGATTAATATAGTGTGAATGCTGAAGTGAAACTTAGTTCCCAAGACTGATATAGAGTGAGTGCTGAAGTGAAACTTAGTTCCCAAGACTGATATAGAGTGAATGCTGAAGTGAAATTGAATCTCAAAACTGATATAGCGTGAATGCTGAAGTGAAACTGAGTTCGCAAGACTGATATAGTGTGAATGCTGAAGTCTGGTCTGGTAGTCTGTCTGGTAGTCTTAGTTTCAGCTTCATAGCAAACGGGTTGCCCCATCTTTGCTCCGCTCATGTGCCAGCGAAAAACACTCAGAATGTCTATCACAGTCCCTTGTGGAAAGATTGACAGACTGCTGTCTCAGCATATCTAGCTGTCACATATCACTCCTGTCGCGTGCCTAATGTAAGGATTTCTCCTTCAGAACCAGCAGCACTCAGAGATAATTATGTTGAGTCGTTTGGCTCGTATTGGTCTAAGGGATTCCCCGTGGCCAATATACGATCAACTTATCTCTGGAGTAGGGCAACTCAAGTATTGGCACTACAAAATATGTCAGTATATATATATAATATTTCTAGGCACACTTGGCTGGACACCCCACTACTTACTAAAGAAAGACCCCCCAGTTATGATAGTTCATTATCATAACCATGTTAACACATATAATGAAAGATACACATACATACACAACTGCTAAAACACTTAAAAAGGTGAAATAGAGACACCTAAGTCAGCCATGAAAAATGAAATGTATGTAATCAATATAAATTAGATATATAAAAGTGAGACAAAGGCCAGATCTCAGGATATCATGTCCAAATCACAAAGATCTACACAGACAGAAGGCCTTGGAGATGACATCTTTTCATCACTGGACACAAGGAGCTGTGAGGAACACAACATCATGCGAAGCATTAGACTTATCTTCTCTTCTCTCTGTCTATGATGCCTCCCTCAGCTCCGGATGATTTGACTGTCTTTGACTCTGGGAATTCTGCTCCACTGGATCAAGTAGTAAGAGTACTTCACTATACAGCAACTGTACCGGTATTTAGCAAGTCTCTATCACCAGTAAGGACACACAATGTCTTTGAGCCACATTAAGCTCTAGTACTGGTAGCTGTTTGAGGCACCATCTCCCATGGGTTGGAGATGTCAGGAACCTTCACAGGTGTTAGCTGGTGGGTAACAAGTTGGTTTCTGGTGGTTGGATGGTTGGTGGATGTTGGTGAGACTGTGAATCTTCTGCCAGCTCTTCAGAAAATATACATCCTGTCAAGAAAATAACTCAACATTAGTCATCATCAAGAGGGTAACATCTTGACAGGAAAGACAGAGCAAGCATCAGTCATCAACCCCCATCTGCTGACTCCTCCCTGCTCTCCTGTTTCATTCCTCAGATTGCCTCTCCAGACCAAAAGACATAAGTCTCCTATATTTATCTGTCTGTTAAGTGCAAGAGAAGGCAAGTCAGATATACAGTGGAGATAGATAAAGTGGTCTAACACATATATCACTCTCCCTATCCCCCTCACTCTGCACACAAACACCAATATTTACCGTCAGTACCTGCATTCCCTAGCTTTCCCAACCGCCCCAGCACTCATTGATCTGGGTCAAACACACACATACTTTGATTAACACAGCCCTGACCCAATTCTGTCCCCATTTCGTATGTACAAATTCTGTAAGTAGTTTAAAACGTACACAATTGTAAGGGCATTAAATGTTTATCAGTATGGGTGGTTTATTGAGGGCATAAGCTATTTGTACAGTGGAAGATCTACGTTCGAATCCGCTACTCTAGCGATCAAGAATGGTAGAACTAAGTGAGATCACACAGCCGATATGGATTTCTCTACAGCAGTGACTACTTTACAGACATCATTCTAGGTACTCGTAAACTATAATTAACTTACCCAAGCATATGTAAAAACTGAGACATTTCCAGATTGCCTTGAAAAGTGAAAGTTATACAGGCACAGATTAACACATCTGGACACTTGAGAAGCTGGCAAGGAGAATAGCGTCGCTTAGACACTTCAGGCGTGCGTGGTACAAAAGAAGTTCCTTGTATACTGGGGCAAGGAGTAAATCGGTTTTCCAAGAAACCTCAAATAACTCCCTAAATATATCTCCAAGAGATATACATTTAAAAGTGGAGTTTAGTTAAAGTAACCAGAAAAGGCAGACATAATAATGTTGTCCAATACAGGCCTATATATATATAGATATAAGGGACTATATATTTCTGGGCGAGTCCAAGTTTGAATTTTGTGCAGATTACAGGTAAGACAGGTTATCAGCCTTACAGACCGATGCGTAATGGCTATCATTTCACGACACTAGCATACACTCGCATTAAAGCATATGGTAGCCATCCGAAGTGCTAACACAAACAGTCCAACATTAAAAATGCAGTTCATCATTGATGATAGCAGAACTTGTCGTCAACAGATCAGCAGTTGTCCGCGTGATCAATTTTAATACGGGTCCCGCAAGCATTGAACGACAGGCATCGCGCCATTTTCTGAATCTACAATTCACACCACCACGTTGGTCACAGTCGAAAAAAAACATTCCAAATTCAATCCGCAGCTCACAGGGTCACGCCATGAATTCAACTCAGAAGCTGGGCGACAAACTATATCCAATCTACAAATGGAGCAAAAATGCATCGGCCACCGTCCGGCAGAAGCAAAAAAATTGCCTCAGTTCCGAACGGCGCCGCTGTCTAGCGTCCATTTTAACCGGAACATGCTGAATGCTGAAGTGAAATTGAAATCTCAAAACTGATATAGCGTGAATGCTGAAGTGAAACTGAGTTCTCAAGACTGATATAGTGTGAATGCTGAAGTGAAATTGAATTCTCCAGACTGATATAGTGTGAATGCTGATGTGAAATTGAGTTCACAAGACTGATATAGTGTGAATGCTGAAGTGAAACTGAGTTCACAAGATTTATATAGTGTGAATGCTGAAGTGAACTGCAGTCAGTCTGACTGGTGAAAACATACAGGAAAGCTGAGAGAATCTGGTTTTATGTTAAAACCCTCATACGTACTATAAAACATCTCTATGCCAAGGCAGGCAGTGCTGTCACGCTGAACGTACAAACAGGAAGCTGTTCATGAACAATGGGAGGAGTCCGGCAGGGCTGGCTCCTTACTCCAACACCTTTTAAGAAATAATTATGACTGATGTCATAGAACAATGTCATGGAACAGTTAGTATCGGAGGTTTGCAGATAACATCGATGGGTTGGTGGAGAAAAACAAGAACTAGTCGAGTTAGTTAATCTACTTGATGAAACATCAACCAATCATGGAAATAAACGCAGAAAAAAAAAACACGAAAGTAATTACTAATAATTCAGCTGGCAGAATTTCACCAATCTACGTTAAAGACCACAAATTAGAACAGACTGACTAACTGACTTTCTACCCCAAAAGGACATCACACAAGCGATAAACACCCGATGACAAAAAGTGCCACCATGTGGATGAGGATCGCAGTGGAGAGGTTCCAGAAACCGCGTTCAGACAATTGGCCATATTTATGGCCTACCTATATTGCGGCCCCTGGCAAAAGCCAGAGTGGGGCTTTAAAGAACAAAAAATGTCGTCCTAAAAAGGACGAAACTGGATCAGAAACGTAGACCGTAACAGCTGAACTAGAAATAAAGATACAAACATTACAAATGCTATGTTTCAGAAAAATTGTTTGCATATCATACTGAGACCACAATACAAACGAGAATGTTCGCCATAAATTTATGCAGCACATTGGCAACTATGAACCTCTTTTAACTACAGTGAATAGCCGAAAAATGCAATGGTATAGACATGTAGTAAGATCTGACGGACTCTCAAAAACAATACTGCAATGCTCAGTAGTGGGAACGGGGAGAAGATGCAGACCAAGAAAGACCTGGTTACAGAACCTGACTGACTGGATAGGTCTCAGCATGCAACCATGAAGTTCATCGCAACTGACCGCCAAAGGTGGTGAAAGCTGATCGATAGTCAACAGAAACTGGTGACCGAACGCAACGTAGTGTTACGGGATGATGATGATGATGAACAAAAACACCATGTACAGAAAAAGCTCAGTTACATTGTCTTGATACCAATTATTTAAAAATATTCGAAAAAACAGCCGATTACCAGAATCAAAAGCAGTCAATTTAGATTTTTTAGTACGTCAGGGTGAAAGAAGGGAAGGGGGGCTGGGGACGGGTCATTGCTTTCCTTTTTGGCATTGACTATAATGGTCTGATAGCAGTAGCCATTGTCTCTGTAGTCTGATCCTTTGTCCTTAGTTGAGGAACTTAGGCCCATGAATTACGTGTCGACTGTTTTCAAGCCGATCAACCACCTGATATTAACGGACAATGCAATAATTTGTTTCATGTTTCAATGCATTTATTTGTTTCGTGTTTCAGTGCTTACTTTTTTTCCCCTATCTTTCAATGCAATAATTGGTTTCGAGTTTCAGACATTATTTTGATTCCTGAATACATGTTTTAATCTGTTCATATTTCTGTGTATTAATTAATTTGCTTCATGTTTCCGTTCATGGATTTGTTTGATGTTTCAAATGAATAATTGTGTTTCATGTGTCGATGAATTATTCTGTTGCGTGTTTCCGTTGCACTCAGAACTGGTGTCTAAGACATCGCCCAGCAGCAGCACCTCGACAACGAGTGTCTATAAACACATCTGGACCAACAGCGAGAATGGGCACGAGATCATCGAGATCGAGAACAACGGTCGAGTCACTTCACATCAATCATATCTCAATCAGAATGTACCTGACGGACAGTCCTCCCACAAGGGATCCGTTATGTCCGAGTATCAAGGCACTAAGTCTGCAAACAGTGGATCCCAGCATTCAGGTATGTGTGTCCGTGTTATTTTTAGCCAACTCCCTCCTTCGGTAACAGTCTCTTCCTGTCCTCTTTCTTCTCGTCTTTTTGCCACCACCACCACTACCACCACCCACCACCACCACCACCACCACCACCACCACCACTACTACTAACTACTACTACTACTACTACTACTACTACTACTACTACTACTACTACTACTACTACTACTACTACTACTACTACTACTACTACCAGTACTACTACCACCACTATTAAGCTGACGACCACTACTGCTAATGCTGCTAATGATGATGCTACCTCTTCTACCACTCCTCATCCTTCTTCTTTTACTGCTTTGGATGAACATGGAGGTTAAAAAAAAAAACATTCTTGTTCTTGCTGATCTGACAGCCTTAGATATGTATGCTTGATAGTACAGCGGAGTTTCTAAGATGTTCTGCTTCCACCCTGTACTTGGTGAAACTGGTACCGGATAATTCTGAGTTTTTACTGGAAAGAAATGGCGACCAGGGCTGGAACTAGATTGCTGACCCCAGATGAAATTGTAAAGCCAGTGTCTACGTCTAATACCCCAACAATGGCAATGTCGGCTTTCATATAAATTACCGTTATGTTTATCTGTGGACACAAATACTGGTCCGATACAACACACACAAATAGTTGTATTGTCAGTCTCTTTAAGAGGATTAGCGATCCTTTAATTATTGAAGAATTATGTATATGAAAAGACATTCTACATTTCTACTATGCTAAAAATATGGGTTACTGCAGTAAGGCGGTATCAAGACTAACGTTATTAAACATAAATTGTGGCTGTGGGGGAGCTTAATGAAAGGGAAAAGAGGGGTGGAGCTGGAAGGGGAGGGGTGGCGGGGGGGGGGGGGGGGTGGGGGGGAGGAAGCTCAGATGTTGCAAGCGAAGTCTTTATCAACGGCAGAAAACCACCCCCCCCCCACACACACCACACACACACACACACACACACACAATATAAGTCACAGCTTCAAACCAGAAAGTAGCCTATGCTTTTTTTTTACACTTTCCCACCTCGCTGAGCTGGTGGTAGTTGATGTCTCTGTTTCTTTGTTCCTATTCTCTACTCCTGAAATGTCTGGCAGAATTTATGTTTTTTAAGAGAATTCCTTTCTTTGTGTACCAGTCTGCCATCTGAATGTCGGGAACTTTTGTGTCCAGGACAACTTATCCACACAGGATTAGACAGGTCTGCTGTACTAAAGATAGGTGTGAAATCACAACAGTGACTGACAGAGATGACCTGGGACAGTTCTAAGACTTGTATGGTAGTGAACTCGTTTCACAGTCCTAGTCATACCTGGGTTCTTTCTTCATCAGGGTCAGTTTAGAAAAATACAATTCTCCTGGTTATGTGCACCTGTTAAAAAAAAAAAAAACTGTACAGTTAAAGAGATTGGTAACTCACCATAAAAGCAATAATACATTCATATATACTAAGAGAAACCGTTCAATGAGAGAGATTGGGAACTCACCACAACAGCAACACTAGATTCATTTATACAATCTCCTATTAGTGGGGGGTGGGGGGGGGGGGTGGGTGGGGGGTGGGGGGGGTAGGATAAAATACCAACTTTTGAACTAGTTCTTATACTGCAAAGCCAAGGTAGTGCAATGGATTTGAATTCGCTAGCGAGGCAAGTTTTTACAACTGAAGCCTGGTTGTGAGGTCACAAGATCAACATTTAGTACAAGAAAATGTTCACAGGAGCAAAGACACCCGATGGCAATATGACCCCTTTAAAAAAGGCTAATATTTCGTTTTATGGCGCTTAGCCTACAGTGTGCAGGTTGTAAGCAAAGAGAAGGTATATGTAAGCAAGAGAAGGTATATGCCCAGACAATACATGAGACCGTGAGCCCTGTCAGGAGGAGTGGCAGGTGTTACAGATGAATGTATGAGAAAAGCTTGGACAGCTGAAGGGCAATGAAGATGCCTGGTTGTTTAGCATAAAGAAGGAGGTCATCTACATTCTAGGGTACGTTGTGACATGGAAAGTTTGTCGAAGAAAGGCAGAAATCAAGCGAGTATCTATGCTTAGTTTGTGTGCCTTGTGGTAGGGAAGGACATCTTGAAGCATAGAGATGTTTGACACTATATAAGACAAAAAAGCTGTACACATGACCTAATCTCCACACTATGTGGTACGGACTCACTAACAGGAACTTCCTTATAAGTCTATGTCGAGACTCAACGATATAACAAGCCCCCCCCCCCCCCACCCACCCCCCCCTAACCCCCATCCCCATTCCCAATAATATATATATATGCCCGGCTCGCTAGCGTAGTTGGCTAAACCGGATTGCGCGGTGACCGGGTGACGAACACCTTGTGGTCCGGGTTCACGCCCGGGGTAGGCAGAAAAGCCACATTTCTCCCAGTATTCTTACAGTATTTATCATGAAATCAAGGCTAAAGGGTTGCGATATCCACAATATCGAGCCGAAAGGCTAACAACTCATGGCTACTGGATACTATATATATATATATATATATATATATATATATATATATATATATTATATCTATTATTCACAGCATTGCTTGCGTAATAATGAAAAAAAAAGAAAACATAAAACCTATTATGCTAGTGGCGTTTTTTAGTGTAAAGGTTTTTAGACCACCTCGTCGTTCTATGGGTGATAAATTTAATGTAACTAGGTTGCCTTTGCCTCCCTTGTACGTTTTTTATACTTGGCCAGCCCCAGAACGAAGGTCATTCTCTAAAAATCTACCCCGATGATGATTGCAATTCTCAGCTTCTAGACCTGCAGACATGTCTCTAACCACTGCGATATTGCAGCTCGAACTAGCATCATTTTGGTTAGTTGCGTATCCTTTACAGGACGTTGCAGAACCAACCCCAGCAGCTTCTGGCTGTTGTGTGGTTTGTTTAGGCACATGTTACCTCCAGTAGTTACTAGCATCATACATTCACTAAAAAGCAATAAGAACGTTAGGTCACGAACCAGTAATACAAAAAGAATAAGTCTGTTAAGTAAAATAAAAAGGGATAGAAATTTGTTCACGACAGTATCGTGTCGTCGGACATATGATGCTAGGCTTAGATTACACTCGACGGGTGATGTGGCTGGCCGCCTTTATCTCCCAGGCAAAGTGTACAGAGAGCAATCTCGAGCGATTCAAGAGGACATACAGACACACACAAAAATCAGCCCAGATGATGGATACACGACATAACCGAGGAAATGAAAGCCCCGTGCATGAAGCAAATAAACAGGGGTCGCTGCTCAACGCAAATAAACAAAGAAGAAAGAATATCAACAACGTTCTGACGTTTGATGATACAGCAAAAAGTTTCCTTTTTTGCCAGGCTCGATTGAAGGATTGTGAAATAAACTGACTGATGGATTCATGGATTGACTGATTGATAGATTTACTGATTGACTTGAAGAATAATTTTCGTCACACTTGAGATCGTCCATTAGTGTTGAGATCTTTTCTGGATTTATCGCACACTATGAGTCCCCCCATCACAGTGCACCAACAATGTATTAGTAACAAGTATTCCGATCGTTATATAACTGATTTTCTCCCACTGTAGTTATACTGTTCGGGTATATCATTTTAATTGTCAGCCAGAGCTGGAGAAATGTTATCTTCCGTTGATGATTTCTGTTGATAATAAAACCAGTACTTATATTTAAAAGAGTGAGAAGATAGTGCTTTGCTATACTGGACACATCCTGAGAAGAAGCCAGTTGATAATCACTAAAATGGGGTGGGGGGGGGGGGGATAAATAGGTTAGGACACCTAAAAGAATCCCTAACATGAAAGTTGATGAGCGAGGCCAAAGCTGGATGAGGACTGGGATGAGGTTTCCCAGGCTTGCTCGGCTTTTGTCACGGGTCGGCCTGTGTTAAGGTGTCCAGGGCTTGCTCCTCGCCCATTAAGAGTTAGCATAAAATGGAATGTCCGGGGCTTGCCCCGCTGTCGTCACGGCTCGACCTAGGAATACTACATTCTTGCTGTCCCTGCCCTCGTTTCGAGTCGGACTAGGATGAGGTGTCCGGCGCTTGCCTTGCTATCGTCACGGGTCAGCCAGGTATGTGGTGATCGGGACTTTTTAAGATCTCTGCGCGAGTTGGCCTGGGATGAGGTGTCCGGGGCTTGCTACGCTCTGGTCACATGTCGGCCTGTGTTTAGGTGTCCGGTGCTTGCTCCACCATCGTCACGGATCAGCCTGCGCCCGTCAGAAGTCGTTATTAAATGAGGTGTCTGGTGGTCTCCCCGAAATCGGGTAAGCGTGAATTGTGCTGTTTGGGACTTGTTACGATTTTGGCTGGAGTTGGTCTGGGATAAGGTGTCCGGGGTTTGCTCCGCTTTCGACACAAGTTGGCCTGTGTTGAGGTGTCCGGGGCTTGCACCGCTTTTAACACGGGTCAGTATGAATTGTGGTGTCCAGGACTTGTTACGATCTCGACAAAATTTGGCCTGGGATGAGGTGTCCGGGGCTTGCTCCGCTTTCGTCACAGGGTGGCTTGTGTTAAGGTATCAGGGGCTAGCTTCGCGCACGTCAAGGGACGGCATGCGTTAAGCTGTACAGGGCTTGCTCCGCTATGGTCACGAGTCGGTTGTGTTGAGGTGTCCGGAGCTCACTCCACGACCGTCGGTCTGTGTTGAGGTGTCCGGGGCTTGCTAAACTCTTTCGTACGGGTCAGACTGGGTTGAGGTGCTTTTGGCTTGTTTTGATCTCGGCATGAGTTGGCACGGGATGAGGTAATCTGGTAATATGGTAATTTTAATTTCAGCTTCATAGCAAACGGGTCATCCCATCTTTGCTCCTCACCTGTGCCAACGAAAAACACAACTGCTATCTCAGCAAATCTAGCATACACTCGCATTAAAAGTATATGGTAGACATCCGAATTGCTAACACAAACAGTCTGGTATAAGGTGTCCGTGTTTGTTCAGCGCCAGTCAAGGGATGAGGTGTCCTATGTTTTG